ATCAATTTAATATATCATCAATTGACTTTAATTCCATTTTATATATGCCTAGCGAGTATTTATATATAACTCCGTAGTAGGGATAAAATAATTATACATATATGTATACTAAAAATAAAATACATAATTAATTTTCAATAAYCTTATTATTATTCACAATGCCGTCCTTCAAACCTTCTCGCTACCAATGTACGCAAATAAATATCAATGTTTTCGCAAATGCTCTCACATATTTTGCAAAGTAACTGAAACTAATATCTCAAAAGTAACTCTCAGCTAAGTTGTAAAATTGTAAAGCAATTGTAAGACTGAATCATACTTTTGACGTAGACGTTCGTTTAAGTTGCTCTAAAACACTAAACATTAACTAAATCCAAACACACTCACTACTAACATACCCAAGCACTCATATATATGTGAGAGCTTATATTTGCACGGAAAATATTATTATGTGAGAGCCAAAAGCATTATATTTGCACACAAAAAATGATATAACAGCTCGCCGRGCGAGTTTCAATTCATTTATCAATGTGCCCACGCTCATTCCAAGCAAAGAAATAACCAAACGCTCATTGGTGAGCGAAAAGTCTTCTTAGTTCAATCAATTGACAAGAGTCTCAAATTTGTTGCTCTTTATACGTAAACCAAATCGCATTTTTCTTAGACTTTATACRATTTTATCGTATCTGAGAGACTTAGAATGAGCTCTCAATATATATACATAGTATGTATCCACAATCTTAAGTACAATCAATAACTGATTTTTATACTCATATACTCGTATACATATGTATACACATGTACGAAGTATAAACCCCTACACGTTCACGTAGTTGCAAACTTAAAACGATCCGCTCAGTTAAGCTTCGGGTACTTAGTAAACAATAAATCGAGAAAAGGTTTAAAAGCAAAGCCACTTAGTCAGAAACATTCAAGTTCTAATGAAAGCGATGATTCTTCATGACACATTGCGAATTGAATTATCTGAAATAGAAAGATCTGTAATGATCTGTTAGGATAATTTTCAATCGACAAAATATGTACTTTCAACAGTTGAAAAATGCAACTTTAAACGCAAATATCTGGAAAACTATAAGTTTTCCGTGGCTACCTCCTCTATCTGCAAATACCCATTTTATCCTGGAAATTCTAGGACGGTATTCTAAAGTTTTCAGAAATCAGAATATAAATAGTTATTCTGTTAAAACAACTCTTCGGAAGATTGACATTTATACAAAACATGAACTATTGAGTTGAAATTTCGACGTCTTATATGTCTTGATATAGACATATGACATAATCCAAATCATAACCCACATATYTAACTAACTTGCCTTCATACATAATCGACACAAATCCATATCAAACCCAATTCTCTCACGCTTGCGAAATGTTCAGTAAGAGTACAATATTATAATACCCTAAGCACAACATGTAACGCTTGGTTATCAAAARGAAAAAATAGGAGACAACAAAATAACTCGACAGCCTACTCACTAAAGCGAAGAGTCATTATACTTGAGTATACAGTATCATCATGTTGTTGTTTTTGTTTTTGGCTGCGTTTCTTCTATGGGGGCTGAACTAGAATACCTTGGAAATTACGGATAAAGAATCGAACGAGTTGACATGTTATGTAAAAATATAAAAAGGCGGTTAAGTAGTAAACAGCAATGGACAGACAACGACGACGACGAAAATGACGAGACCGCTGTCGCAAATAATCGCTGCGAGACGAAGCAGAACCAAAGCAAAGCAACGTCGAAGGCGCCCAAAGCTACTTAATGCCGCTTAGCGTTGTTTAAGTCATGTTTTTCTCGGTTTTTGTTTTTATTTTATCATTGAGCAAGCGCTCGATTTGAATGAATGGGTGGCATTTAATTTGCATTAATTCCGTCTGCGTCCGCGTCCGTGTCCGCTACCGCCATAACTTTGCTGTTACTGCTGCTGCTCTTCAATGGCAATCATACACACTAGTATATGCACGTGTATGTACGTATATTCGAGCAGACTTATATACATACGTGMTTGTGTGGGCGCTTTTGCATATTTATACAGCAATCATGCGTGTCGTCTTCTTCTTTCGCCGTTTTCACGCGCTCTATTCGCATTTGCTGTTGGATTTGAGCTTATATAATATAACAATATATCTGACACATTGATTCTTTAATATTTGGATATAGCATTACTGTCATTGTATATATGCGTGCTAGATGTATTGTACTTGTATGCAAGATTTCAAAATCACTTTAAAAGCGAATTCATATTTATTCCGAGAACGATAAGTAATTAKCTTACAGAAATAAAAAGAAAATATTGGAAAAATTGAAATTTTATTTCATTTTACTTTATAAGTTTACTTATAAAGCCAAGAGCCAGTTTAGAGATCTATAAAAATTAAACCTAAGTAAACCGACGAAATTTACGTTTATTAAGGTCCGGTCTTACGAATGGCTATTTTCAGTAACTTAATAAAAATAGGAAAAA